TGCATCACTAAGATTTATTATCATTCTGGCACAGGCAAGAAAAACTACAGGTGTTATTCATGCAATTCAACACAACCTATTAAACACCTTCTCTGAAAATCACGTATCTAGTCCCAGGGCTATAGAAGGCTTCCTAGCATTTAAAGAGGAAATAGGGACAAAGCAATCAAATTTCAAGCCTGGTTCAAACGATTATTCTTTGCTTGAACAGAAAATGAACTGCTGTTTCAAAGGGGTTTTCAAGTAAAACTTGAACAGTCAGGACCAAGGCAGTCCTAGACCCAAACCATGACATTCAGTGGTTTAATTTCCTGGATCTACCTGCACACTCCATGGAGCCTTTTTGTTGCTTTCCATGTGTGCTATAATCAAAGAAAATGAAGGTGCAGCAAACAGCACTCTCTTAACCACACAAACTGAAACCAATCTTGAGTCATCTTCTTCTTGGGAAACTGTGGACAGAAATGCTGAAGACCTTATGTTCACAGTTGTTGTTGCACATTGCCTTTCTACTGCTAGCTGCTGTATTTGCATTGCCTTTTGTGTCTGACCTCTGCAATCCAGTTTTAATAAAATCAATATAGGAAGTACAGTTTACACAATGAGTTTAATTAATAACACAACAGTTTCAATAATATTAATATCTGTTATCAAGTTGTTATCTAGGTCTGTAAGTGAAAATTTAATACAGAAGGCCAGCTGATGATGTTAAAATGGGCACACGTTTTTGCTATTTCTTTTGTTTGCTTGTTCATTAAGGAGTGACACAGGAAAGAACTACAAAAATCTGCAACTACCTGGGAGGCAATGTAAAACCTTTTGCTATAAGGTGCTGCTGACACTACCAGCCAAATTCACAATTAACAAATATTGGGCTGTTAGAATAGCTTAGCACCCATCTCCCAGTCCCTTAGCAAACTCTGGTGAACAGAAGTTAATTCATCTCAAAGTTTTGCGAGAATCAGGTTTTGATTTTTCTCAAGAAAAAGCTGTCACACTAACTAGTTACTATGTTTCAACATATTGTGTTAATTGATGCTTACCATCTTGACCATGCTGCAAAGGTCTGGAAATTATGACATGGGCTACAATCTGATTTTGGTCCTAAGGGTTTTTTTCTCCTCTTTGGAATATATGCCTCAACTGCCTAATTAAATACAGCTGAAATGCAACTTTCAAGGTAAAGGCTTAAGTGTAGTATAATACCAAAAGCATAATTTACTCTGAAAATACAGTAAGCAATATATTCTAAATTGTTGAGGGAACCATATCCTGTTTTGTGCTAAGAGTAGGCACTAAGCCCCTCTAATAAATAGAAGATTTCTTTTTTAACGTAAGCCGAGCGAAGAATAAATAAAGTTTGTCAGCAACAGCAAAAAATGTTACAATTCATGCTATTAGTTCAATGGAGTGCTCAATTATAAGAATATTTACGTAAAGAGTACCCTTTTTTCTCTCCTGCCCCAAAAATGAGAAAAGGGTTAGAAGATCACTCTTCTAGCAATGCTATTGTGCACTCCTGTAGTTTAAAACAGAGAGAGAACAGCCCAAAAGGATGATCTACTCAGTCAAGAACACAGTATTAAGAAACAAAGATTCAAGCGCGCAAGCTACTCTTAAATCACAAAAAACAGGTATCCAATGTGAAAACAAAATTTTGATCCAGCTGTAACTAAAGACATGCTAGCACAACCAAGCCTGTAACCAATCCACGAGCTACCTACCATACATGAAGTGATAAATTTACATTAACCTACATGAAACCTCTTAGGTGTTTACACTGAGTAGAAAACAATGCTGAAAATAATTAGTGGAATGATATAAGAACAAATTTCATAATACATATAAACCTTGCTGCATTTCATCTATGTATGATCCTTTATAGCTGGAAGAGCCCTAGGACATTGTCAGAACCGAAAAATTAACATTCCTTGAGAGCTATGCTATAATTAAGAAGTTATCTAAAAATACTTTTCCAAAAGCATAATAATTTTAACTGCAAAATTTTTCATCATGTCACACTGTTGCAGGTATACAGCATCCTCGTAAAAACATCACCTTATTAATAACTACACATGCAGTAGGGCTACCTCAATTTTTATTTGTTAGAACAGTTACACGCTGGCACAGAGAAATTAAAATGCAGGAGGATGCATACTACAGCAAAGCTTGAAAAGAAAAAGCTTAAAGATACATGGGTCACATTAAGGTCTTCCTCTCTCCTAAATCAGCTTCTCGTGCTGCTCACTCATGCAGGGAGATCATAAGTTTGTGGCTGTGATATTTCCACGGCAACACTGGTGACAGTGATGTCACAAATTCAGCCCTGACATAGCTCCAGGATCAAGTACAAGGAGCAGATGGGATGCGAGGGAGAAAGCCCCTATTTAAACACAAATCTCTTTCATAAGGAAGAAAGAGGCATGAGCAAAGAAACAGGTGAATGGATCACGTTTTCAAGTATGATATATTCAAAAGATTATCCTAGCATGAAAATCTATTTAAAGGCAAGACCTACAATACAGGGTAACTGTCAAATTTGTTAGGCCTTATAATAAACCAACCTTGAAAGCTCCCTGTTTAGCATGACAAGCCTTGTGCCCCATTTCTAAAGTGACGGTGAAGACAATACACTTTTGTCCTTTGTGAATTTCCTTTAAATAACTTTAACATTCAGATATATTAATTTGATACATCACTGTGCTCATAATACCATATGTAAATATGATGTCAAGCCCTCACTGGAGTGAGTTTGTTATCTGAATTAGATATAATATGAAAGAAATTAAAATAAATCCCAGATGGGTCACCAAGTACAGCAGGATGGTAACTGGAATATTGAGTCAGCACAATTTGATTGGTAAAACGGGACTGTGCTTTTGTGCTGATCTGTGGACTCATGCAAGAATCAATACAACCTCCAGGCCAGGCCAGCTGAAACACCCCTAAACCCCTGGCCGGTCACACGCCGCAGACTCCACCGCTACCGGTATCAGACCTCCTTCCTGCCTTTGGCCACCCCATGGACGAACAGCAACTGAGCCCACACGGGGTAGAAGGGATGACAGCCAAAAGCGGAACAGAAGAGGGTGCACCCACAATACAGTCACAAATACAGTCTCCACATTAACTCAGGTCACAGTTCAAGGAGATACACAGATTTCTTAAAGACACTACTCTCCACAGAGGACAACAGATGAACAGGACGAAACGCCCACCAAGGGAGGTCGGGGAAGTGACTATGACCAGAATTCAGGCGTAGGCGGTCATTCACAGAGCTGCAGGTAACGAGAAGCGGTTTCTTATAGCAGCAGAGGCCGAAAGATGCAAAACAAAATCAGAAGTCAAAAGGGAGATAAAAGGAACTAAAAGGATATAGATCCATGTTCTGATCCCAGTAGAAAAAAACCCACTTTTTCAAGATTTCAAGATGAAGCCCTGAAAGGATCATCAACAGTCTAGCTCTCAGGAGGGAAAGGAAGAAAGGGAATAAAATCTGCAGGTTGAAGCTGGGCCTAAGCTGAGATGTGAACGGGCCCCCAGGAAGGGACGACAGGTGGAAGCAGAGACTAAAATGCACAATGCAAGGAGGAACAGATCAGAAGTCAAGTAGCTAAGCAGGGTTCACAGATATCATCTATGAAGTTACTAAGGTAAAAACTGCAAAAGGGAGAGAACAGAAGGTAAAATGTGCCATGATATAAACCACAACAATGCTCATAGACTTAGAAAAGCCCATCTGATTCCCCAAACCATTACTGTACCAACAGCAAATCAAAAAAGCAGGCAATAAACCGAAGGACACTGGCTGGTCACAAAAAAAAGTGAAAGTACCCAAGGGCGGCACCAGGACCAAGATGTCATTCCACAACTAAACAATCAATCTTATGAAGAGGAGAAAAAAGAAAAGAAAAAAAAAAAGCAGAGGAACTTGAGATATCAATAATGGATAATAAATAATACAACAGGTACAGAAAAGCCTGTTGGGATTGTCAGGAAAAGACCTAAAGAACTACAACTGTTTAGCTTCAACAAAAATGGTTTTTGTAAACGTATTAGGCACATACCCATGACACCACTAACAGAAGTGTTAGCTGAAATTTAAAAAAAAGGAATAGTTTGGGGCTATAAACTTCTACAGGCTTCTAACTTGTTTCCAGAGTTTACTACTCTAACAGCATCCATTAGCGCAGTAGGATAAGAAATATACTCAATTTTAAGATGGAGTTTACTGTTTTTACAATTGTGATTAAGACACAGCTGTTGCAGACTACAACACAACCCCAACAAAATTTCCTCTATCTCTGTGTTTTTGTAAGGCCAACAACCTCAGATGAGAACGTGAACTAAGTTCCCTCAATGGACTTTCTAGAGGTCACTTAAATTTCAGCACTGGAAATCCCATCTTCTTTTTACCCAGGAGGAAAAAAGCCTCTCTCGGATAACTCTTGCACTACTACGTCTCTTTTACCACGTGTTTATAGAGACGTGAAACTGATGGCTAATATGAGCTCAAGTCAGCGCTCACTGCTGTTTGTATCACGTAGCAAACCAAAGCAGCTGCCAAACATGAGCTAGAAAGTCCATTTCTGTTGTTCAGAACTTACTTTCTCCCTATCACACTGATCAAAATTAACATTCCACTGATAGACAGAAGTCAATCGTTCTGCTAAAATGAAGTCTTATACAAAAATCAACATTTTAAGACTTAAGAACTGTAGAAGATGCATTTCAAGTCTAAGCTTTGCAAGTATTTCTCTTAGAACAAAAATACTTTTACAATAGCCAAAATGAAAATATAACAATAAAAACCCACGACGACTATGAATTAACACATTAACAGATTTTTAAAAGGCAATAAAATAACCATAGTCACTTTCTAATACAATCCTAATCCAACAGCAATTCAAAACATAAGATGACAGTAGATCAGGATGCAAACTATTTTTTTTTCCACCTCTCATTTCTATAAATAAATATCAATAGGCATGGTACATTACCTTCGTTTTCAGATGCTTGGCATTTTACTTTCAGTACCAAATCAAAGGTACGTTCTGGATTTTCCCTAGAAGAAGCAAACACAATTGATTAATATCATAGGTATTTCAGATAGCGTTTCTACCAGTTATACCTTTTCCATCTTATTTGTACAGAATAAAATTAAAATAAATTAAAATTTCATTAAAGTAAAATTAGAAGTCAGATTAGTTCTAAGGAAGAACCAAAAAGTCACATTTCCCTGTACAGCCTTCAAAAAAGAATAAGGAAGATAAACAAGCTAAACTGTGCAGTTTATTTAAGTGATACTGTCACTGCCTTATACATCAAATAGCTTTTAAGTCACTCCATCATACCACGCCTAATGGTTGGGAAAAAAGTGCTACTAAAATCCTTATCAATCAATCTGAAACATATTAATGGAGTCGTGGGCAGCCTTTTCTAAAGCTACGTTTTATTTCTACTTAATAGGAATAGCCCATCATTAGACTTCCATTTTAATTCCACGAATTTAGCCACTACCTTTTAAATGCATGTGATTACCACCATAAGGCTGAGAATCACTTAGCTTCCTCTTTCACAAGATATTGATTGTCGACTTTGACTTTAAAGGCTGAATCTCAGGCATGATTCAGTGAGTGAGAAAACATTAATGCAAGAGCTAGGGATGGACGCAATCCCGAGCTAGCCAGGAAGATGGGAAGATGGAGCCTCCATATCTGCAGGAGCCATCACGGTCAACGCTGTGGGATGGCCACTGCCTCTTTCACCTCCCCAGTAAATACACACTTGATAATAATGAACTGCATATGCTAATAGCAACTAACACTCAACCTAATCCCAAACTAAATATTTATTAAAACAGCTTTAAATGCCATTACTATACCACCCACCTCTCTCTGCCTACCAAGCACACTGCTATTTATATTAAAAACAAGTGGTATAACTGCACCCATATCAATTATCTATTTAACCACATAAAAGGCTCACACTTGAACTCCCTTCTCGGGTAACTCTCCCACTGAAGTCAGCTGGAGTTTTAGGCGCATAAAAAAATTCAAGACTTGGTTCCACGTTTCTAGAATGCTTCAAATAAAGCATGCAGCAAATTAACACACTGTTGTTTCTTTAAATAAAGTCTTGAATGAAATCCAAAGGCTGAGCTGGGGAAAATTTCAGCTGTCACAAATTAATTGATTCAGTACATGCTTTCACTGACCTCAGCACCATCATCAACTGAGATATGCAATTATAGCCTAATTCAGGTTATGGAGACATAACCCACCCATATCACAATCTTCCCTTGCATCGTATTTTAAAGCATTTAATTGAGAAAATCCTGTATCTACTGATCCTGTGTGTAGGAGATCAAATTCTGCTCTGAGTTAAAACAGCCTAAATCCAGGATATTGGAGATTTACTCTGGTATTAAAGTCCATCCATTGTTCCTCTGGCTGGCAAGCGGGTTCAGAATGAAACTGATAAGGCTTGGCTTCGTTGAGCCACCTAGAAAAGCGAACCACAAAAATCCTTCCTTTTAAAGAAGTGACATCTCCCCATGACGTTACTCTAGCTCAGGCACCGGGTTTATACTCTCAGGCCATTTTCCCCTTCCGTTTCTTCCTAAAACCCAGACCACACAATGCTGGGTTTTTAATGTGAATCAGTTAAAGTGTTACAAACACCGAACGAGGGCTTCTAACTCAACTCCTAGCTGAGTTACCCTCACAAAGAAAGCTCTTTGAAGTAACACTGCCTTCCGCCTTTCACTATACCACTATAAATCTGCTTTTGCAGAAAATTGCTTCTAAGTTTACTCTTCACATCCCACTACGCTCAGAAGTGTCAAAAATGTGTCAAACTAATCTGAGAATTGTCAGACCGTCTCTCATTTCCTTTACAGCCACCCGGTAGCAGCCTGCTTATTCATCATATATTTACACAGAGATTTTTGTCAATTCTTGAAACCCGTGTTTAACATCTTGTTGGTTTCCAACGTCAGCAAGACCGGGCGGCCGCTCCTGATGGGTAAGGTGCTTCCAAACACCTAGAAAACTCTTTTGCTCCTGCCACAGCATAACGGCAAAAAGGTGGTTTGCAGTTACCGGAGAGGTTAATGTCACAAACCTCAGCCCACCCGCTGCTGCAGGCAGGGTCACTGCCCAGGCCTGAGGGAGCTCTGCCGACCGAGGCAGGGAGATGGGCCCGCGGTCGGCGCAGGCGACAGTTTGCCTCTACTCCCAAACCGCTGTTGCCAGCCAC